GACTGAGCCAAGACCTGGAAAGCAAATTACCAGCTAAACGAAGAAGCGATGGAGAAACTGGGGGAGAGGCTGGTTCTTCTGTTGACAGGAACAAAAGCTCAGGGAGCCCTGGCACGCCAGAAAAACCATGGCAGAAACAGCTTAGAGAATTAGCACGGGCTAGCTTTACCAAAGAAAGAAGTGGATTCCGGAATGATCCTTCGACCAGTCGAACTAAATGGAGTGGATTTTGGACAAACAAAAGGAGCGGGAGCTCATCTCAAAAGACCTCTTCGGATTCCAAGTCCAAAACAAAGTGGTTGTACGAAGATTTAGAAGAAATTTTTGCATCAAAATGAGATTAAAGCATCGATGTATCCTTGACACTAGCTTTTGAGAATCTTCATATGGGTGATTGTGCATACCCTTGAAATGGATTACTCAAAGTGTTGTTGGTTGAAGTTTTGATGAAGCTAGTTTTATTGAATGTAAAGCTTAGAACTTGCAAGATCGGATTACTCAACAGATTTTTTCTTTTTTTACTTTTCTTCATGAAATCATTCTCTGCAAAACGGGTGGACTCTAAACACATTGATCTTTACTGTTTCTGTTTCTTTACCCGCTTTTTTTCATGCTAGAGGAGAATTCTTTATTTGATTTAGGTTAAAGAATGAGTTTGAACAGGCAAACATTCTTGGATTTCTCAAAACGTATACACCTTCTAGTTTTTTTTTTTTATGTTTTTTTTTTAACATTTTTTTTCTTGTTTTTTTTTTTTAAATAAACTTAGTTCTATTTTTCTATCTTTTTATTTTTGTTCTAATTTCATTTTTTAATTTTTTTTATCATATAATTAAATAAAAAATAATTTTAAATATTACAAATTGTTATCAAACTAACATTACAAATTAGCGAGAAATTAAAAAAGAACTAAAAGGTGGTAATTGGTATTTCATCCAAGCTTTTTATCAAACACTTTATTTGCATAATCCAAACGCCCACACTTGTAATTCTAAACTTGAATAATTCAGATGATTCTTCTTCTTCTCCAAGCCAAAAAACACAAAACCAGAATTAAGATCAACACCAACCACATTTGAAGTATCCTTCCTTGTCCTTTCAATCACAAAGGAGTTTATTTTTTTTTGCACATTTTCAAGATGAGCAGCACCAGGGAAGACCTTTAATTGAGAAATCAAAATAATTTTAGTAGTAATTTGATACAGGAAATAATTTGAATATAAAATTAATAAACACCCTAATAGTTTGGTGGTATACTGAATGTTTGCCTGTTCTTCGTAGTATTTAAATTTGTTTTTTAAGTATATATTCAAAATACTATTAAAAATGCTTCTTCTTTTTTCATTATTCACATAGTTTAATATTTTAAGTATATATTCCATCAAAACTTGGGTGGATTGAGTGTGTTATTATTAATTGAAATAAATAATAAAGACATTGAATTTTCACTCAAGAACTTTAAGATCGAGTAGTTCTCTCTTGGTTTAGTCCCTTCAAGATTGAGCGTCTTTCTCTTATTGGTATCTTTTTGGTGATCTTCTCCTTTGGCCTCCATTGTGAAATCCATCTAGAGTTCTTGTTCTTCCATTAAAAAAAGTAAAAAGGGGGGGTATGGGGTCGAAGAAAGGAAGTGGTATGATTTGTTAGCAAAAGCTAGCAATTTTTAGCACTACACATTACAATATCATTGTAACATGATGTTCCATGTTAAAACGGAGGTAATAGTCCAAGGAAGGGAATTTTTTTTTGCACATTTTCAAGATGAGCAGCACCAGGGAAGACCTTTAATTGAGAAATCAAAATAATTTTAGTAGTAATTTGATACAGGAAATAATTTGAATATAAAATTAATAAACACCCTAATAGTTTGGTGGTATACTGAATGTTTGCCTGTTCTTCGTAGTATTTAAATTTGTTTTTTAAGTATATATTCAAAATACTATTAAAAATGCTTCTTTTTTTTTTCATTATTCACATAGTTTAATATTTTAAGTATATATTCCATCAAAACTTGGGTGGATTGAGTGTGTTATTATTAATTGAAATAAATAATAAAGACATTGAATTTTCACTCAAGATCTTTAAGATCGAGTAGGTCTCTCTTGGTTTAGTCCCTTCAAGATTGAGCGTCTTTCTCTTACTGGTATCTTTTTGGTGATCTTCTCCTTTGGCCTCCATTGTGAAATCCATCTAGAGTTCTTGTTCTTCCATTAAAAAAAGTAAACAGGGGGGTATGGGGTCGAAGAAAGGAAGTGGTATGATTTGTTAGCAAAAGCTAACAATTTTTAGTACTACACATTACAGTATCATTGTAACTTGATGTTCCATGTTAAAAAAGAGGTAACAGTCCAAGGAAGGGGACTAATTGTTGCTGTTCTGGGTTGATTTGCAAAAGCTATCAATTTTTAGCACTACAGATCTTGGTTTTGTTTGGATGGTGAGGGAGATGATGATGTGGGTCTAAGTTAAAGCTTGATGGTGTCAATTAAGAGAGAAAGACGAAGGGCTTGTTGTCGTGAGGAGTGCTGGGCCAGAGGGGCTGCCGACAGTGTAGAAGAGAGAGAGGAAGAAGATGGAAAATAATGGGGGTTTGAGGTTTTCTCATATTTTTCTTTTTTATTATGGTATTTAGTTTTGAAAAGAAATGGCTCTTTAATAGTTATTTTAAATATAATGATAATTTTCTAAATAAATGTATATTTTTGTTGATTTTTTTTTTCCTGAAGCTAACTCCTAAAAATATAAAGAGTTATTTGTCTTTAAATTTCATATTACAACGTGTGATTTTAAAACTTTAATTGTAAAGTGGGAAAATAAATAAATAAAAATATAATGTTCAAAGTGAATTTTTTTTATCATATTATTAAATAAAAATAATTTTAAAAAATAAAATCATTAAACCTAATAAAATCATAAATTTAATAAAATAAATTATAAAATTCAAGTTAATTTAATATGTTAAGAATATAAAAAATATATTATTTTAATTGTTTTAAATTAAATTATGTTTTTTTATTTATAATTTTTTTTATTTTTAAACCTATTATATTAACTACTAAGTTATATTAATAATTTATATTAAAACAATTTTTATGAGATTAAATTTTAAATCAAAATTAAATAGCTGGATCAATTTAATAATAGTTTGTTGCATTTTTTCATTTAATTAAATCCGTAGCATTGCACTGAATAGAAAACCAGCAATCAGTAAATAACTGTAGAAAAGGCATAACAGTTTGTTGCTTTTTATTTTTTTTTATTATTATTTTCTTATCTTTATTCTGAAACTGATTTATTGGTTGACTTTTTCTTATATGAGACAATCGATACGAGCAAGAGCAAAAGCAAAAGCTTGATTGATGTCTCTTATGAAAGCTTATTTTTGTATTTTAAAAATATTTTAGAAAAATATTTTTATTTTTTTATTAATTTTAAATTAATATATTTTTAAATTATTTTAATAGGTTAATATTAAAAATAATTTTTAAAAAATAATAAAAAATTATTAATATCTATTTTATCATAAAAAACTATAATCACAATTACACTTCCAAATAAATTCTTGGATCTATCTCTCTACATGTTTCGTAAAATATTATTTGGTATTCTTTGTAATATTGTGATATTAAAAATAAATTTTAAAAAATAAAAAAAATATTATTTTAATATATTTTAAAATAAAAAATACATTAAAAATATTTTTTTATTATATTCTTAAATAACTTGAAAATCTATTTATTTTTTTGTTTTTTTTAAAAAATTATTTTTAAAATTTTTAAAATTATTTTAATATATTTTCAAATAAAGACAATTTACATCACTAATAATATTAATATACAAAACAGGTGTATTCCATTGCTTGGTCTAGTGGTGGAAGGGGCTTGTCTCTTTCCACTGCAACTGGGTTTGAGCCCTGGCGTGGATGTCTGTCACCCTCGTGGTGCCTTACATGCCTACTGAGTTTGCAGGGTATTTAGTGGGTTGTAGGAATTAGTTTGCAGGGTATTTAGTGGGTTATAGGAATTAATCGTGGGACGTGCAAACTGACCCGGATATACCAGTTAAATAAAAAAAAAAAATACAAAACGCTCTGAATATGACGATAAGCAAAGGTGTAGTTAAGACGAGCTTAAGCCACCTGTTAGTTGTTTTATCGTTTGCCAATCACACCTGTTCTCTTCTCGGTTGCTTTTTGCCGTTTTCTCCTTGCTTTCTCCTATATAACAAAACCAGATCACCAATACAGAAAATGGGTTCGCTGTTAAGTTCTTCAATCAAGATGAGCAAGCAAGAACTTGATGCTGCGCTTAAAAAGGCTAAGGAACTCGCCTCCTCTGCTCCTGTCGTTGTTTTCAGGTTTTATTACCCTCAAAATTTACAATTACAGGGTTCTTTGTTTATATTTCTTTATGATTAATATCCCCATTAAGCTGTAATTTATAAGATACTGCTGTTATTATTGTTTCAGTTATGTATTTTTCTTTCTGGGTTTGTTTGTTTTTGTATTATGATTTGGGAGACTAGATTCAAGTCTTGAGTTTTATTTTTCTTCACGCAGCAAAACCTACTGTGGCTATTGCAATAGGGTGAAGCAGCTGCTGACACAGGTAGGAGCAACTTACAAAGTCGTTGAGCTGGATGAGCTAAGTACGATTACTATACCTTTCTTGGTTGATCCTTTGTTCCAGTTGGTATTTGTGTTTTGATGAAATTTTTAGTTTCATATCGATTTACAGCATATAAAAAAAGAGTCTTTCAATGTTTTGAAGGTGATGGATCTCAACTTCAATCAGCACTAGCACACTGGACTGGGCGAGGGACAGTTCCTAATGTGTTCATGGGAGGGAAACACATTGGTGGTTGCGACAGTAAGTTCCGTCATCTTCTTTTTATTGCTTGCTTCTCTAATTTTCATGGCCTCTGTTGATATGACATAAAAATTTATCAACGATTACATCTTTTTCAATGTACGTCCACTTTTGTTGCTGCAGCCGTTGTGGAGAAGCACCAACGCAACGAACTCTTGCCTCTTCTCCAAGATGCTGCTGCCACAGCTAAAAACTCTGCCCAGCTTTGATTCTACATCGAAGACTTGATGAATCTTGTACTAAAAGTTGGAAAAATGTTTCCCGTATGACAAATGTACCTGAATTCCAATCGTGCACCAAACTAAATGAGGTGTTAACATCAATAATGTTGGTATTTTTATCTGTTGTGATGCTTTTTTTTCTTTCTTGCTACATTTTGAGTTCTCCAGCTCCTGAGCTTGTATTTCCTCTTGGCCCGAAACCTACATTTTGGATGTGTGCTATGGATGTTAGCATTAAACAAACCTATCAGTCAAAGAAATTTCGATGGAAATTCATGAGAACTTTGTCATGCAGCCAGACAACCTTGCCATTAATGTTCAGAAACAACTTGCCAAAATAAATCAACACATTGACCAACGAATGGATTCAGTTATCTGACTAATTCCAGTCATACAGGAACTCCGATGATTTCCAAAAGAATAAAAAAACACAAACGCTATCATTTAAATTGATGGAGTATAATCTCAGCATGTTTGAATTTTCCTTATGCTATAATACAACACATAGTAACAAGCCATCTAGAATTTGGCTGTGACAGGGGAATCACAAAGATATTTCTGTTGTTCACTGTAGAATTGCCAATGGTGTGCCTGCATCAAGGTTTTTTTTTTTTTTTTTTCTGGTCTTCAAAATGTTTAAGCTTCGGTAAAAATTTCAGGCGACTTTAGCAACAGAATCATCTTTCAATTTCTGTAGTTGTCAACCAGAGTAGATATGAGAATTGGCAAAAGTTAAATTATAAATTTCCCACCAATTTAAAACTATGTCCCACTTACATTAGAAGTCTCTATCCATAAATTAAGCGTGACTAGAGCTTTCCCTGATAATTGCGTCTCTCGAGCCACAACCACTCCCTCTGCTAAACTATTTGTACGGCCACTGAAAAAGAGAGCAGCTGCTGCATTTAGGATCTGAAAGATTATTCTTGCATTAGAACTCTGTTCACAAGTACTACGGCGCATGTGCAAAGAACTAAAGAACTGTCACTTGAAATAAAACGCTCTGTCAAAGAAACTCACAGTGGCATCAGCAATGACACCTTTCTCACCCGACAATACACGTCTTAAACTTTCTGCATTATAATCAGGGCCTCCGCCTCGCAAGTCATGTAATGTACAGTGTGGAATGCCGAAGTCCACTATCAAACGCACTTCATATCAGCGATTTAAGTAATGATAGACATCTGAGGAAACTCATTAATATAAAGACTAAAGTAACAAATATGCAGTCACTTTACAGTATAAGAGAAAGAACAAAATACAAGTGTATGATGAGCTCACGTGGATCAAATGAAAATTTTGATATCTTTTCGGGGTTGGCTTCATACACTACTCCAGGTCCTGTATTCCGATCATTGTCAGAAGATGAGATCTAAACATGCAAATGTAGGATAACCAAAAGATAACAGCTATAGAAAGCTAAATCCAGCTAAATCTTCCTTTCTGGCACAATGGTATTTACTTTAAGGAAGAAATCTTACCAGGGGGACTCATTTCATCCAAGCCCTCTAAATGAGCAACCAATGCTCTCTTCATGCCAAAGCTTTGCAATGCTTTAGCCATTTTCAGCACCTACCCAAGAAACATAGATAATGCATATCAGAGATGAATTTTATGTGAGAATTTCAGCTACAGCCCAAGCAAGCCCCCATTTCACAATTAAGATATCTCATGTGTTCATATGGATATCAATGTAGCATGAGAGAGAGAGCATTGCAGTTAATAAAGCAACATCAAGTTACAACTATGGAAAACCAAGTACAGTGATATCAAAACCCATCTGGAACCGCAGATATAAGAATTGCATCCAATCATTATGTTAAGATCTTTAAGTTAAGTAATTTAACTGAATAAACTTAGAATACCAAAAAATAAATTATAAGCTTTCCTATAAAGTGATGATAAGTATGATTGTTGGATAGATAATTATGTTTCACAGTTGTTGCAGGTCATGATACAGGCACTCACCAAGTCTTCATGAAATACACCACCAACGGCAAAGGGAACACATGCGGGATTCAGCATAGGACCCAATGTGTTGAAGATGGTTTTGATTTTCAGTTTCTTCCTTACAGGGCCAACAATCTTCATAGCAAGATGATACTTTGGCGACATCATGAAGCCGATTCCCACTTCATTTACACATCTTGATACCCCCTGATTTCAAGAAAATTGAGAATAAATTGAATTATATGCATATAACATGTGAAAGGAATTGCATATGATTTGACATCTAATCTTCTTAAGCTGTGGTTTAATTTATTACTGGAACAGTACTAACAAAATGAACATAATTGGCATTATGGAAATGAAATTGACATTTGAGTTATGCTTGATGAGTTACAGTTGACATAGTAATCCAACATGACTGGCATCACAGAAAATTTCCGGAATTTAAGAAAAATAAAACATTGCAGTATTAAGAAAAGATGCCATGTTTTCATGCCTTTCTTTTTCCTTTTTTTTTTTCCCTTATAAATGAATAACAAAAGAACAATATCATCTTAATGATGCTAAATGGTCCATGAGATCTCTAATGAATGAGGTGGTGCAAAAGATGGACATGGCATACAAGAAAGAACAGAGTGAAGAAACGGTTGAAGCAGGTCAGGAAGTGTGATAGCAGAGAGATAACACAACAGGCTACTAATCCAACTTCACTAGAAAGAAAAGAAAAGGGGAGAGAGAGAAACAGGTTGTCACAACACACGCATAGCTTATAATATTACATGGATTTGGAATGTTTACTTTTTCAGGAAAGTGACCCACTTCACTAGAAAGAAAAGAAAAGGGGAGAGAGAGAAACAGGTTGTCACAGACAATACGCGCATAGCTGATAATATTACATGGATTTGGAATGGTTAATTTTTCAGGAAAGAGCTGATTGTTACTTCTGGAGCCGAATGAAGCCCAAATGAAGAAATACTCTTCCAAAATTTCAGAGTTCAACAAATCAATAGTACACAAATGGAAAAGGGCATGGATTATGCCCTCAAGTGAGTTAGACCTAACATTCAAATATCGAAAGGAAACGAGTCAACCCCATTAAAGCTTTGATGTACTAAAGAATACACCTTGGATCAACGGGCAACTTATAGGTTTTGGTAGCCCTACTACCAAGTAAATGCTGCCTGGTTAACAACTTTACCAACGATCAAGTGGGGAATGGAGGAAAGGAGCAGCACGATTATACAAATATGGCAACCACAAGCTTGATAGAGCTCTGTAAAAGTTATATTATTTTTATAGCATTTGACCAGTGTTCTTTAAAGGCCACTTTTATGCCCACAGCCACATCATAGACACATGAAAAACCATACTGGTAGAAAGCAAACAGGCTATACTAGCACCATCTGCAGCCATTAATGACTTCTATTCATGATGAACCTACCTCTGGGTCCAAGTCTATTACTACCCCAAGTTCTTGCAATACATCAACACTTCCACATGCTGAAGAACTTGATCTATTCCCTTGCTGCAAAGCAAACAATAACATTTAGAACATTACATGCAACCAAGCATATGACATAATCCTCAAATTTTACGCACCAAGCATATGACATAATCCTCAAATTTTAAGCATTATTTTGAGGAAAAGAAATTCTGACCTTGGCTACTTTCCAAACAAAACAACCTGATCTGTGTAGGCCAGAAGCCAGAAAAAGCGCCACAAGCAGCAGCAAGTATTGATGCTCCTGTAGAAGTGTTTACGGTGCATGCACCATCACCGCCCGTCCCAACAATATCCACAATATCAGCTAACCCTTCCACCTTCTAGGGCTTAAACATTGCCCTTGCCAATCCAACAATCTAATAGCGTAACAACACGATAATTACTTTCATTTCATCACAACAGCAAATTGTGTCAGAAGTAGCTCTGTCCATAGCAATAGTTACCGTGTCACATTATCCCTACCTTTTAAAAGGAGAGACGCTTGGAATATGCTTTCCTACTTGTAAAAGCAATAAATGCACCAAACTTAACTCTTCAAAAATCTCTCCCTTGGCTCTCAGCAGTACCAAGAAAGCAATGATCACGGCCTCCCTAGCATCATCGAGTAAATAATCTAATGATGCTTCAGCCTCAGATTCTGACAAATCCACCTTATTAAACAAGGATTCAATCAACTGCCAAAAAAAAAAAAAGAATCACAAAAATAAATTAAACATAACGAAAGGATTCAATCAACTGCCAAAAAAAAAATCACAAAAATAAATTAAAAATAACTAAACAAAAAGTATAACACCCATAACTTTTAAAAAATCAATGCGAGAGACAGACCTCATTGAATGCAGGCGTTGTTGAAGCTGATTTCCTAGAAATAGTAGACAGTGAAGCAGAGACCAGAGTCGTACCTTTTCTGCATGTACCTTCACTTACATTTTGTATTATGTTTCTTTGCTTCAGGTAGCAACGCGGTCGAGTCCAAAAGCAGCAATTTTTGTCCTCAAAATCACGAACTGGTGATTTGGGTCGCTGAGATATCATAGAAAGAGAAGTTGCAGACAGACTGGCTGACAATGTTGCCACTAAAAACCAAAATAACAAACACCCAATTCGTCAAGAACAATAAAAACAAGAGCTCAAGGCTTAAAATCGAGAAAAGGTAAGGTCTTTAGATTGAAATTTGGGGTTTTATCGTGGTTTTATAAAGGGAAATGTCGTTCTTTTACCAAGATTAAGCTTTGACTTGTGCAGAGAGATTGAATGAACTCTTCTTACCTTAGACCAGGAGAAATTGTTGAATAAAAAAGACTCTTTTTTTTTCTTTTTGATTATTGCAATAAGCAGATTGACAAACACATGAACTGAATGCAGCACAAAGGGAGAGCAGAGGTTTCAGGCTTGGACAAGAACCGGATGTTTATTTTATTTTTAATTTGGCATGAGAAGGGATTTGTTTGTATTGGATTGAAGTACAGATATATTAGGTGGTTGTTTTCTGGATTTGATGACTGAAATATTGGTGGCCGCCAAACTCAAAACAGCATTAAGTTTCACCACCAGCACAACACAGCCTATATTAGGTAACACATTCAATTCAGTTTCAAACCTCATAGAAAGATATGAACAAGGAGATCAGAGCCAAGGCAATTTTTAACATCAACAAAATACCAACCTGAATTGGTGACCACATCCTTTTACACTTTGTTTTTTAGAATTTTTTTTTTAATGTTTTAATGGCAAAAATAGATTTTTTATATATTTTTATATTATTTTAATACATTTTAAATTTAAAACTTGTGAGGTATACACGAACCAGTTAAATTAGGAACCAAGCACATCAAAGATAAGGGAATGCGGTGTTTCCATTTTTTATTTAAAATTAATTTTGTTTTATATTTTTATATTATTTTAATACATTTTTAAATTAAAAAAAATACTCTTAAGCAGTAAAAAAAAACTATTAAAGGGATAATTACAAATCAGCTTCTTATCTATATGTTTATTAACAGATTAGTCGCCAATCCTGAAGTTCTTGATAATTTCTTCCAATAGTTTTTTATTTTTTTGAACATCTCTCCCTGTACTTTTTTTAAGATTCGTTTGTTTCCAGAAAAATTATTTTAAAAAAAAAATAAATTTCTGAAAAATAAATTATTTTTTTATATTTGGTAATGTTATAGAAAATGAACTGGAAAACACTTTACAGCGTTTAATTATGTTATAAAAAATAAACTGGAAAATAATTTATTAATATTTTATTTTTTTTAAGTTTATAAAAATAATGAGGAGCAAATCTTACAAATTAAAAAGTTGAATAATAATGAAATTAAAAAAAATCATAAATTATCTCAGATAAAATAAATAATAATCAAAATAATAAAGATCAAATCTATAAAAAAAAATGAAGAAATTAAAATAATAATAATTAACATTTCATAAAGTATTTCAAATAAGATAAGTAACAATTAAAAGAATGAGTACCAAATTTGATAAATAAAAAATTTCAATAAAAAAAATAATAAGAGAAAAGCAAATAACAATTATAAAAATGAGAACCAAAGTTAATATAAAAATTCAATTTTAAAAAATAAAATTAAAAAATAAATATTCAAAACAATATATATATATATATATATATATATAGTAATCAAAAGTTTGAGAATCAAATTTGATATAATCAGCATATAATGACATTTCTAAATTTTTCACAACTTTCGAAAAGTGTTTTCCGCTTAGCTTTATTAGGAAAACACTTTTCTTTAAATCAAGCCAAATAATACCAATAAAAACATGAGATGTTTGGTAATCTCAAACCATACTATTACTTGACATGAGCCCTGCGCAAAAACTGATGTTAGATCTCAACTTATAAAAAACAATTCACACCTGAAGTAACATGTTTGTAAGTAAAAATAAAGACAGAAAAACTTTTATGCCCTTGAAAAAAAAAAGAAATCAATTTCTATTCCAAGATGATAGGAATTATGATAGATTTTAAATTAAAATTACAAAAAAAATCCAAACTTGATTGATTTCACTATTTACATGGACATGTTACTTGGTTTGTTTTTGGTACTTTAATTTTTTATCATTTAATTTTTTTATTTAATTATTTAATATTATATTTTTGAAAAATAAAATTTATAATTTATTCATATTTTCTTTTTATAGGATATCATGGTCTAAAAAAATATCGTGACAAGGAGTTGATGCTTGATTTTGTGAAAAAAAATCTTAATTTTATTGTTTGCAAGATTAAAAATTAGGGTATCAAAATTAAAAAAAGAAAAAATAGCACCTTTATTATAAAAAAAATGAGGATCAAACATTTTAATCCAAGACTTTATTTTATTTACATTTCAATCTCTAATATGAAAGAAAAGAGAGTCACTTAAAACAGCGAAGGAGATAAAAAGTTATTGGTCGGTCCTATTCATTCATTTAGGCCATGAAAAAAGTCGTTCTTGATGTTAGCAAGTTTTCTTTGATCAGGCTTGAAATTTTTTTAAAATTCGAGTTGATCTTGTGTTTTATGATTTATTTTTTTTAATTTTAAGATTATAAATTGATTTTTTTTACACATCTAGAGTGTTTATCATATTTTTTCAAGTGAAAAAATATTGAAAATAAGTTTTTTTATTCAAGAAGTTAGAAGCCTGACTTTCCAATTTCTAACATCTAACCATATGAGATAGCCGAAAATGAACCAAGAATGACATGTCTTTTGCCATTGCAAATAATGTATTGTTTGCTATTTTCTTTTAATAAAAAGGTGGACAACTATAAAAAGAAAAGGAAGATAATGATGAAGAATAAGAAGATAGCCATACTTAGCCCTAGCCTCCTTTTTCATGGGACACATGTATTAGCTCATCTAGGCCCATGTGTATGGCATATTTTCTTATTTATCCTTATAAATTTTATTTAAATCAATTAAAATAGTTTAATCAAAAGAATTATTTGAGATTTTTTATCAAATGCCATGCATTTTTTTTTTTGAATTATGGTTTTACTTACTATATTAGCTAGGCTTTATAATATAATTATAATTGGCAGCCTCATCAACAATATCCGATCAATAGTCTCGTTAGTGAATATCATCATATGTTATATTTTCTAAGCTACATCAATAAAATCTTCAATAGAAAGTCTTCATTTTATAAGACTAAGCTACATCAATAAAATCTTCAATAGTTTCGTCTTCATTTTATAAGAAAAATATGGTTAACGAGTATTTAATAATTTATCAATATAGTTTCAAGTATGCATACTTGTTTGGATAATTAATGGTGGGTTGAAACTGAGTCTAAGGAGAGAGTAGGACTAAAACTGAACCCAATAAGAAAGAAAAAGAAGGGCAAAATCAAGCTCAACAAAGAAAGGAAAAAGGAAGGGCAAAACCTAACTTAAAATGATAAAACCTAACCTAGAAGGATAAAATATAATCAAATAGAGCAAAACTGAGTCCAATGATGCTAGAAAATAGGTTCAAAACTTAATTCTCATGCACTTCCTATACTGATATGGCACGTCAAACGATATTTAAGCATGTGCATGTCACTGCAACCACCCTTATAAACATGTCATCTTTCAAGTTAATAGAGCATACGATTACCTAAATGTCTTATTTCACAAGTTAACAATGTCGGTGTATGCCTAAACATCTTATTTTAAAAGTTAGTTATGTGATATTTTATGATAAAGGTAATTATTCTCCATAATTACTTCTATAAGTAAGGTATATGATAGGTCTTCAACCGTACTCTGCGCAATGTAAATTAATGTGAACTGTGGGTGTACAAATACCAAAGGATCACTAGGTACGCAACAACTCATATAAACACGCAACTACCTAAAAACAACATTCTCCTGCATTTCATTTATCTTTTTCTATACAACACATTCCTCTTACGCTCTGTTAACTTAAGCATCAGAAAGGAAGAAAGAAAGAAGGGCAGAACCTAACTTAAAAGGACAAAACCTAAAGGTATGTGAGTAGGGCAAAACACAATCCAATGATGTTGAAAAATGGGTTAAAAAAATGAGGCAACTTGAGTTAACTTACTAAACTTACTACCTCATTCATGATACCTAGATAATCCAATAGAAAACAAACTTAAAAAAATCATGAAATTCAATTCCCAGACAACCCAATATTAAAAGATAAAAGGAAAAAGGAAAAAATTAAATCTAAATATTAAAGACCAAATTTGATTCAATAAATAACATACCACTTTGCCATTTCAGAGAGAGTTACAT